GAGTAACTGTTATGGTATGTCAGGGACTTGTCGCAACTGTTTCAATAATTTGTATATTTCTTACTGGACTATTAGCATGTTATATCTATAAATATCGTAAACTGAAGGTCTTCAAAGTTGCCAGTCCAATATTTTTATGCATCACTCTACTTGGCTGTGCCTTTATGTATTTTGAGGTAAGTAACTTCACCTTCTTGGATATTAATAATGATCAAATAATTACTCTTATCAATATTATTCATAAAAATGGCCATTCCAACAAGCCATTGCCACCATTATATCAACCAGATTTAATGTTGTTTGCGTTTCTTTCACATCATAATGTTTAATATTCATAAATCATATAATGAGCCGATAGCGACCAATAAAATCTCTATATCGATTTCATACTTGGGTATGTTCCCTTGTGAGTAAACCTTTTGATTGCATTATTTTTAAATTTCATTTCTTTCGTTTTCTAAATCATTTAATCCAACATTGGGTTTTCAGACTGAAACAAAATTGTTACCTTTTCAAGCCACTGTTTAGTTTGATGGATTTGTCAGGGAAAAGATGAAAATTTAGGTTAAAAAATAAAAAAGTCAAAGGTTTAAGGGTAGTCATGAGTATTTTGAATGGCTGATGGCAAATTTTGGAAAAGTAAATTTGAGAAAAGAAGAAAAATGATTGAATTTTGTCAAAATAAACCTTGAAGCTATTTAGTGAAATAAAAGTCACATTAATTGATCAACAGTCGATATCACTTTGTAGCTGCATAATTTTTGTTCATCAATTGATTACTTTGTTCAATTTATTTCATCTGGAAATTACAATTTAAACTCAATCTCACTTCAATAATCATGTTCTGAATGACTCTCTACTGTATATTCTGAAGCAGAAAATAAGAGTAAAATTTGAAGAAAAGGATTCCAATCAGATAAAGTTTTGAATAAGATAAATGAAGATAAAGTCAACTTATCCAGCGACTTGCATAGGAAAATTACATTGAAAGATTGTGATGTTATCCTTTAAACGAATCCTATTATTATCAAATCATGAATCAAATTATTTCCATGATGTGTCTTGAGATTTTATATTATCATCTTTACAGACTGACCAAAATTGGTTTATTAAATGTATTTCAAGTTGAAAATTTGAGTGGATCAAAAAATGTAACCTTTTCTGTTTTCTGTCTATTTTCATGCAAACCTGAATTGGTGGATAAGATGGCAGCAATTTTTCCAGTTTTAACGACGTTTGCTTGCATTGTGACCAAATGTACTCGTCATATGGGCTTTTGTATAACCTATTCAGCTTTACTATTGAAAACTTGGAGAGTCTCATTGACATATCGAGTTAAATCGGCACACAAGTTGAAGTTGACTGACAAACAATTGCTTCAATGGTTGTTTCCAATTCTCATGATTATGGCCATTTACCTGGGCACTTGGACAATATCAGCGCCTCCTCAGCCCATCTACATAACCGACTGGCATGGGCTCAAGTTTAAAATTTGTGACTACAATTGGTGGGATCACAGTTTGGTTATAATGGAGTTTTGCTTTCTACTTTGGGGAATCAAAGTTTGCTATAATGTACGAAATGCGGAATCTTTTTTCAATGAAGCCAAATACATTACTTGGGCCATTTATAATATAGCAATTGTGAACATCCTAATGATAGCAATCCAGTAAGCATTTTTACCATAAAATAATCATTACAAATCTAGATTTATATCGGTAATAGTAATTGAACAATCATGATAAACATGAGTCTTTTTATTTTTGTCTTCTGTTACAATTTGACAAGTTTTTTTTGCTCCTCTTTTCCCTTTTTCTGGTAACTATCAAATTGGTCAATTGGGAAATGAAAATGATTGTGTAATTTATCCTTTTGGGTAAAATTGGGTTAAATGATTGAACCTGTTTAAATTGATGCCCAATGCGGACGGGAATATTGTTAAATTATCATTATTAGCATTACTGTTATCATCATTATCGTGTTAAAAGATCATTTAATGTTGACTTTCTTTTTGTCCCGGTAATGTGAATTATAATTGAATCCTGTGATACAATTATCATGGAAGACTGGGTTGACTTGGTAAAAGTAAATGTTGTTGTTCTTGTTTACATCATTTCTTGACTTCACCATTGTTTTCCTGGTTATTCAGAGTCTATTTATTGTTCATAATTGTTTGTTTCATTCAACATCAATAGGAATTGTGATCAACAGGCAATCATCAATTGGTTAGCCTCTTTTTTATTGACTCAACCCAATCAAGTCAATAATTTTGCATGAAAACATGCAAGAATTGATCTCAACTGGTTACAGATGACTGATTATTTTATCATCCATTCACAGTTTCCGATTTCACTTTATATTGTCTATCATGATTCATGATGTTGGCCTTTTTTTGTGTTCATCATTAATGATAAATAATAGTAATAGTAAGAAGCTATAAAAAAAGAGATTCCTTATTACATGATTTACTCGTTTTGGGTTCAATCAAACTGTGATTTTGAAGAGAGTTACTTTAAATACGGTTTCTTGATTACCATTTTATGATGATTGATTAATTAATTGGTTTTCCTTTTTTCCTTCACTTACAGTTTACTAATTTTACCCAAAGCTGGACCCGATGGTAAATACTTTTTTGGTTTTGTCAGAACCCAATTGAGTACAACCACAACTGTTATGCTCATTTTTGGACCCAAATTTTACCGAGTAATCAAAGGACAAGGTGACTCTTGGGACAATAGAGTTCGAGCCAGAGGAATCAATGCTTCCTTTTCATTGAATGGAGTTGGCCTGGTTCATGAAGAGACGACTGATTTATATCAAGAGAATGAAGAATTGAAAGAGGAAATTCACAAACTGGCAACTCAAATTGAATTGATGAAGTTGATGCAAATGGAAATCAATAATCGCCATTTAAAACCTAAACACACCTCATCTGGACACCACATTTTACCCACTGTGACCATCACTGCGAACCCAGCTTCAGCTGGAAGTGTAACTCAATCACCGATAGTCAAAGCGGTTTATTCACGGTTTGATACCAATGATGCGCCTTCACCAAGAATCTCACCAGCTGCTGAATTGGCCAGTGAACGGGTTTAACAGCTTCAAATTATAGTCACTGCTTCAATAATCATTTCAAGGATCATGATTGGAATACAATTTGATGTTGAACAAACCTGACTCTAAATGAAAATTAATGGATAATTGACTCTCAAGTCGACTCAAAATTGTCTCAAATTTGTAACTAAACACGACCAAAGATACAATCAACTGCCAACTTTAATCTTGTAAATCTTATTGTTGTTGTTGTAATTATTCAATTACAATGTTATGTTGAGTTTAATCGTCATTGATTACTTTGTTAAATTTATATTTTTGACCGTCCAAACTTGCCCTTTCATCTTTACATCTTCATCAATATTGTCATGAAAACAATGAACATAATTTGCAAACTCATCACTTAATCACGTTAAACGTCTTCATCTTCACTCAATTTCAACGATGAATCAATTTTCAACAAACAAAAATGCATCCAACAAAATGTTACACATTAACAGCATTGCAATTGATTTAGTCAACTTGTTAATTGAAATCTATTTATTTTCAGCTCAATTTCCAATTGTCTTGATAAAATGATGATCATGATATCTAACCCTTCTACTTTGATCTCTTCTCCTACAAAAATCCTTTTTATTTGATTCTCTCTTCTTATATTTCCCGTAATTTAATTACAACTCCAATGATCTCCAATGATCATCAAAACCAACTTGAATCAAGTTTAGTCAAAAATTGATCCACTTCTCTCTCTCTCTCTCTTCAATCTTTTCAATCACAATTATTGCCACTGCCACAATTGTAATTTAGGATTGTGATTTTGTTTTAATTTAAAGCAAAGTCAAACCATTTTTTCCCACTTCTTCATCTTCCTCTTCAGTTCATTCAAATTTCATACAATTGACTGTCAACAAATGTTACAATTAGCTTTGCAATTCTTGATTTCTGGTTGCAATCTAATGATTAAAATATGATGCTTACAATAACATGTAAAATAATAGCAAGCAAAATATTGCCAATTGTACCAACAGCAACTTTAAGCGTCAACCACTAGAAAAGTTACCTAAATTAAAATTAAAATTGCCATAAACAATTAACTCGTCAAGTTTCATTAACATTGTTATAACAAGAAGCTCGTTATCCAACATGAAGTACACTTGAATCCAATAATACTTGGTTACCACAATAAATACACTTTAAACAATGTTGCTCGCAGGCAAATGATGAACACTTATGCACAGTTTGCGTAAATCCGGGTTCTTCACTAAATCTCAATTGATTTCTTCATCTGGTTATTGATCACGATATTATTTAGACTCAAAATTTCACCTTTGATTAACAGCTCTTTCATTGAAGTTTCACTTTTGTGTATGAAAGTGATTAATCTCCTACTTTTATTCAGTAATTTTATTGACGGTTTGGGTTAAATAATGGAACCTTTGTTTAACTTATACTTGAATTCAATTTTGGTTGGCCGTTTACATGTTTCTATTGTTGGATTTATTAATCGATCAACTTTGATGTGTTTAGCCAGGTTGATTTGGAAGACATTAATTGTAAATGAAATGATTTAATGTTGTTATGGATAAAGCAAAAACAGATAAAATAAGAACCTAAATAAGAGTTGAAAGATACTAACACTTTTAGTTGACACACTGACGTAATTGTTGAAAGATTATAAATTGTCATTTGAGAAAGAGTTTCTTTACAGAGACTCCATCTTGCTTGGATTTTTCCCTCTCTTTTTGTTTTTATTCAACGTTTGCTCGTTTAATAGCCATTTTTATCCAGTTTATTTTTTCAACCTAATTTAGTTATTTCATTATTTTATTGATACGTTTTATTTTATTATTGTACTTCAATACATGGTAACATGAAGGACCTAACTAACTGTGAAAGTGACCTGAACAGCAAAAAACCAGGAATTGGAGCTGGATCGCTGTCTATTTTACCTGCTTATTTTGAATTATCTGTTTTTTGGTGACTTCGTGATCAAGCAACCCAATGAGATTTTCCTGTTTAATCAATGTCAATCCTGGGGCGAATTGGTTCCATTTATCGACATCGTCGTCTAATCTTAAGTATGACGATTCGTACTATGATGGCGTTTTTCTGTGCCTACCAGTTGCGCTCAATAACGGAAACTTATATACGTGGAGAAACAATATCCAAAGTTAATCTTTCTTTTCCTGAATTTCTGACCCTTCCGAGTGTTACATTGTGTTTTGATTTTATTGATACTCTCAATGTTACTCGTTTGTCAGGTGATTACCCTTACATTCTTAAAACTTTACAAAGTCGAGATCTCATTGATGATTATGTCACTCGTCATTCCCATCTTCCAGAGCTATACTACCTTCTGGGTAATCATAGCTTAGCCTCGATGAAAGGCTATATGAATGATAATATTGATTTTTTGTTGGCTAAAATAACACCCACCCAATTAGAACCTGATGATGGTTTAAAGGTAAATTGTAATGTTACACGCTACCTGATTGAACCCAATTTCTGTCATACAATAACCTGTTATCATGTTGATAGTGATGAACCAGCTAAATATCCTCGAAGTACGATATTTGAGCCTCGTTATGGTGGAAGAATGTTGATAATTGAATTAGAAAGCTGGGTTGGAAATCTGACAAAATCCATGTCGATACACTTTACTGTTCAATCATCATTACTCTATAGTACCCGAACTTCAAGCTATCTAATTGACCTGACACATCCACCAACCACATTCACTGTTTCATATTCGATGATTCGCAATGATTTAGATTCTATTGCATCTGAAACAAAATGTCTGCCCTCTGGTTCATTTAGAGAAGGGACTGGTAATAGGAATCAACGATTTTATTGGTGTATCAATGAATTGATTCGTTCTTCATTTGGATGCTCAAGTTACGGGTCAGCTCAAGATTTTGATGATCCAAATATGTTTCACCTTAAACTTGGTTATCATCAATACTATCGCGAATTCTTATCCTCAAACTTAACCCAACGAGATATCGATCGAGCAAAAATCAAAAAGATTAGACAACAATGTATTAGTCAACTTAAAGCTCCTAACTGCATTGATGAAATTTATTCACCAATCGGCGATTCGTTCAGTGTGAAGGATAAATCTGATTATACCATTATAGTTGATGCGCCGTCAGTTCCTTTTGAGAATAATGAATTTTCCCTTGAAATTGCTCTTCTTGATTACCTTATTTATATAAGTTCATCCCTCAACTTTTGGTTTGGTATTTCAATTATATCAGTTGTTGATCATTTTATCACAACTTTATTCGAATGGATTGATTCAAAGAAATTGAAAAGTAAAGAAACAAAACCGCCATCTCCGAGTCCACAATTTAAAGCAAAGATTGTCGTTCAACCAATTCGTTCACGAGTTTTAACCAAATTCAATTCTCTCAATAGAGAAAGGTTTTCTCATTACTATTCCAGATACCACAGCATTAATCAGCAGTAAGCGCTGACTTGTTCTTTGCACAAAATTGTAATGTTTATCTAGACTCCAACATTAAGCTTGTATAAACTGCTGCTTTGCTTCATCTGAATCCATTCAAAGTCAAGCTATTGAATTAACAAAAAATCTAATTAGCATGCAAAATCAATAAACTGCTTGGCATTCAATTTATAAGTTAAATTGGAATCTAATTTTTTTGAATAAAATTACTAAAATTCTGATGAAAAATTTCATATTCTGTTATTTATTAGCAATATTTACAAAATTGCCGAGATTTGCAATTGATGGATAAAATTTTCTTTTAAATTGCTATAAATTAAATTAACGTCTTAAGATTAGTCGTCTAGCCTCAGGTCTTAAAAGACCTTTGCTTTATTTTCAAACCTGGTTGAAGCTTTTCCGTTTCCTCCTTTTCAGGTGACAAGGTTTACATTTGCTCGAAACCAGAAGGCTTAATGTTTTCCTTTGTGTTGTGTTTTATTTTCCCTCTCTTTGTTACCTATGTCATTCTGATATTTTTTATTCTTCAGTTCACAAATTATATTCTATTAATGATGAAGTTATCTCTTTCTAAACTGTTTAAAAAGCGTACATGGTTGCGTTCAAAACAAAAAGAAGCTAAAGTTACTTCTAAAACCAGTGGAAGTGATAAGACAAACAAAGGTAAACATTGGACCTTAAATTATTCTATCCTTGACCATCTTTAATTTCTTAGTGATTTTTTTTCGTTATTTAACCAATTTTGATTGAATTCGTGTTTCTTGATGTTATTTGTTTAGTGACAATCAAAGTCCGGTTTACTGATGGCGATTATAGTGAGATTACAGCTGACACAACAAATTATCAGACTATGTTTGACCAGGTAAGGTGAAAATGAATTTGTAAATTTGTGCTGTGTGAGATTCCCGAAATTCATCTTTTATAATTTCTTTCATCTGAATTTTATTGCACCAACAGCTGTCGAAATTAACCGGTTTTGGCCTTGAGGACACTTATGGGTGTCGTTTCAATACTTTTGAAAGGTAAGATATTTTCTCACTCAGTACACTAATACACAGGCAGTCAATACATCAATGCTTATCTAATATATCTATCTTGTCTTTTTAGTCACAAATATAATGGATGTCTATATTTGTTCAACAATCGCTTCGTTAAAAACAACGGCCATGAAATGTGGACCGGTTTCGAGGATAAACAGCTGGGTAAATATGTGAACTTACAGGATGGTACTCAATTTACGTTGGGAGTTTATTACGATCTTCATGATCGAGTTATTATAAAATATCATCTTGTCGATGAAACTATCCCCGATGGAAATGATCTGATCAAAAAGAAATACTTTACGCACAAACATTTACTCCAAGTGAAGGAAATGATAAAAAATGATTCGTCAAGTGAATACATAAAGAATTGTCAAAACAGGGCTGTTTTGTACCTTGACTCACCCATGAGATACAATTGACAACGCTCTTTTATCAACTTGAATCTAGTCAATTATACTCATTTTTTCGACAAGAATTTTTGTTTCTTTTGTTGCCGAAGAATTAAAACCAATTGATAATCTTTACATCAAAGCTTTGCTCTTCCATGAGATTATTGGTGTTGATACAAATACAGCTGTTAATCCAGCCAATCTGCAAAAATATGGAACTGCTCCCGGATATTTTCAAAAGGCTTATTTCTTCATTTTTCGGTTTCATCTCTGGTTTTAAGCTCAAGCTTAACAAATACTCTATTGGATTTATTTAACTCGTGATCTCTTTGTCTTCATCAAATTAATTTTCATAATACTATTTGGAGCTTCTCTCGATTAAAACGCTCATTGTGTGATCAATTTACGAATGCGAAGATATTCATTTACGCTCCTAAAGTAACTCAAATGTAAAATTGAAAAGGAAATTCTTTTATTTTTCTGATTTGCTGCAGGATTCTTGATCTACCGTGATTTTAATGAAGCACTTAAAATAGAAGGAAAGTAAAGACTAAATATTCACTACATGAACTTGTCAACTTACAAGAGTTTTGAGGAACAGAATATTTTTAATTAAGCTTTGCTTGTGCCAAATTGAGTAAATAATTGTCTAAGTTTTCCAGGGTCGAACTCGATATCTATAGATCAATGTAATTCAGTGAAATACACTAATTAAATAAAGTAAATGCACACATTTATTTCATATATTAATCTAGTCGCATTAACCTTTTATTCAATTTGCTCTTATTGTTACAAAAAATAATTTCCAAAAATGTACATCAAGACATACAAATTCATTAAATTAAATTTATTTTTAAAAATATGAATCAATAGACTAAATTCCAGACGAAAATCCTGGATTAATCAAACTTTTTATTATATAACTGCGTGATTCGCCAACCATTCTCGAGAAAAATAAAATTATCAAGTTTCCATCCTTTACCAATAGCATCGGTTAACATCTTTTCAAACTTTTGATTTACAATTTTTTCAGTTTCACTGACAGTAGTAATATTCGAAATGTTTTCACTGAAATTGAATAACTTTTCAGCTTGTGATTTGTATTTAAATAAATAAAACAAAATAAGATTGGCATGAAAATATGCTTTCAATTTGTTTCTAACTGAATCTTGGTTTTCAATAAAAGATATCAAAATGCTATTAGAACGCTTGAAATCAAATGATAGAATGTAGTCTTTTGTTGAATGATATTCGAGAAAATCAGTCAAATTTCCATCTGAGATATAATGTTCACTTAATGGGACACCAGACTTTATTTGATCTTGGAAGTCGTGAGTTGACCAAAACAAAATACTTTCTTTTTGATTAATTTCATCAATTGCACCAACTTTCTCCTTAAAAATATATTCCTCGATAAAAGACGTGAATCTTGCTGGATTGAAAACTTCCATATTTACAGATCTTACAGCACGATAGTTACAATAAATATGTGTCATTGTTAAGATCACAAATAAAGTCCAGACAATTCTACACCAAAGAAAGGGCGAAAGTTTAGTATACAGTAAATTTGATTTACAATGAAAGTTTTTTGGCAACTACTTACAGATCAGAGCTAGCTATTAAAGGCACTATCGCTAGACTTGTTAATAAGGCAGCTAGGTTGACTAGCGTTTCTTGACTGGCATCTTTTGCTGATACGTCAGCTAAATTGTTATTACGTGCTTGGTGTTGGGTTAAAGCAGCACGGGTTGCACCTCCGATAGTTCCAACTAGTGATTTTAAGAAACCAGATGAACACTGTAATATGAGTAGGTAACCAGGAAAAAACGGACAAATCATATCAAGACCAATCGCGATATCATTAATAATGTCTGCAAAGAGACGCCATTTTTTGCAATCCACGTCAAGATTAGATCCTTTGAAATAAGTAAATACGATTCTACCAACCATTCCAGTTCCATCTTTAGATTATAAATAAAATCATTGATTAATCTAATGACTGATGATCAAACTTGAATAAATAGAGATTACCTTTTAAAAGCCAGGTGAGTGTTGCACTCATGACCGATGCTGATTTATCTCCAACTCCCATCCCTTTGAGTACATTATGAGTAGCTAGTGTCCCAGTTATACTACTTCCGTAAGCCTGTAAGCTATCCCAAATTTGATAGGATAAATAGTCAGCACAAACACTATCTGGATAACCTCTGGGTAAGAAAATTTCCTATTGAAAGAACAAACAAAAATTGTTTTACATGATTGAGACATTCAAACAAAAACAAAACAAAGTTAACTTACAGCAAAAGCTTGATTTAATGAAGACCATTTAGATATTTTGGTTTCATTCCGGACTTCAATCTGGGTTTGACCATCTTTGCTATCTCTAATTAATTGGATAACTCCTTTGCTCGAATTCTTTTCTTGAGCTAACAGTGACATGATTTAAGAACAAATGTAAACAAACGATGAAATAGTAGTGATGAGTAACTGCGCCAGGTAACAGATGATGAGTTCATTCAGGTTTTAGCAATCAGGTGGAATTTGGTTGTAATGTAAAGCAAAGCGATGTTTGGAGGGATAGCGTTAATTGTAGATACTAGTTAGATTTTTCTTCGATTATTGATTCTGACTTTTGAAGCCTAATTCGCGAAGAAAACCATCACAACAATCGGATCTGAAATTCCACGTTCGACAACAATCTTTCATGTCATCTATAGCATAGGCACAAGCTTCTTCATTAAAATTATTTGATTTCAAACAAGTCTGTATCAAGCAGGCATATTTTTTACATGGATCTTTTGAACTACGATTGTTAACCATGTTTTAAAAGTCGTATTACAAATGTTCAGTATTTACAAATTATTTACAGCTGAAACTACATACGCCATTGACTCAAAATTGAGATAATGTACAGTGGAAATAGCTTATTCTTACTATTTTCACTAAATTTTCACCAACATGCTTATTAGTTAAAAGTAGTTTTTTCATTTTTTATTTAAATCTCAATAGATTGGCACCATCAGTGGGCATTATTTGTCAATTATTATTACAATATGCAATTATTGAGATCATACAATGTGTACATAATTAGTATTTTTGCATAAAAAGCATTTGCTGTTGACCAAAATTATTGACTAAATTTGCGATTAAACTTTGAAAATGGTTTGTTGGGCAAAATCCAATAGAATATCAAAATTTCACAAATTTTACTCATTTTAAAGTGATAATAAACTCTATAAAAGAAAAATGATCACAAAATATTTGAGCACTCGATTCGTAATATTGTATTACTTGTGAGTTGACTGGTTGAAATGATGATTTTCATCTGAGTTTCCTTTGATGTCTTGTATGAGAATAAAGATATGAATGGTCTAAGTCAAAAAAATTTGAAAAGCTTGCGAAGACGACTTTTCTCATCAAACAAACTGCGGATTATCATTATTTGTCCAAAACCGACAGCGATCATCAGAAATGTAGATAAAAGTGAAAATCGATTGATATACTTTAAGTTATTATCTACTAAAACACGATCTCTCCGTTCAATTGCTCTTTTCTCATCCTGATTGTGAACAACTCTGATTAAATCGTCTCTCACTTTATTGATAGATGCCTGTAAATGAATAAAAACAAAGCATATAAGTATTACCATGTAAAAAGAATGATATCAAATATTAAATACATCAATGAAAAAAATTACCTTGATTGATTCAATAGTATCCAGGGCTTGTGCCTCAGCTGGAAATGTGATCATACTTTGAATGTTTCCCCATCGGTCATCATCCTCTTGAGAATATAAATAAACTTCGACATTGACCAATTTAGTGGCACTTGATCGTCGATTATCAAAACAAATGGTATAAACTCCTTGTTGAACCGTTACAACATGATTACCTTCTTGTCTATCCCTTTCTTCAGCTATTGTTCGTCCTTGAGGGTCTTTCATAAAAAAATCAATCACCAAATCAGAAGCTGCATTAGGAGAGTACATCCACAGGAATCGCCTGCTTATCTCAACCACTTGGTATGAGACATCAAGGTTGTGATCTTTAGCAGCATCCTGGTAGAAACAGTCAACCTTTCCAGGTTCAATAGCAACTCGAAAATCAAGATCTTCCATTTCACCAGTGACTGGATTGTAATTAGGCAAATTACCAAGCATATCTGTTGGCGGAGTAACTGACCAGGCCGATGAGATCCATAGACATAAAATCAGCAAAACAAGCATTCTGGTTGGTAATGTAGGTAGAAAAAATGATGACTAAATATAAACAAAAAGCATAAACTAAAAAATTATTTTATTCCTGGTTAGTAAGCCAATTTTCAAATACAGTGTTGTTTTTTCACTGTTGATAAACAATGCTATTTACCACTCTTATCCCATGTTAGTAAAAGGGAACAAAAGAGGAATTCAAAAATTGCGCATAACAATTTTGCGAGAAAAGAGTGAGTAGAGCGTAGTAGTGTTTTGGTAAACAATGTTTGCTTTTAGATACTACAAATCGCCAGTTTGATTTTGCTGTTAAATCTAATCACTTTCGAATAATTATCCCTTTTCATCTGTGCTGGTGATTGTTTTTCATTGTCGCCACAAAAATGAGCTTACCAGGCTCAACGAGTATGTCTTTTGAAGAGAAACAAGCAGCCATTGAACAATTTTGTAATTTCACAGGTAAATTCGTTTTATTTTGATTTTAAGATTTGATTTTATTACCATTCTTGTAGCCATTGTTTTTTATGCTTACTATATTACTTATTTTTTTCTTAAACTAGGTGAGGCAGAAAATCGTGCAAAGGTTACTTTAGAGGCATGTAATTGGAACGTCGAACTAGCTGTTAACATGCATGTTGATGGTATTGACAATAGTGAACCAGTTGATGTTACTCCAACAACAGAATCTTCGAATGACGCCATTACCGGCAGCTCTAGTGGAAGAATCATTGACCTTACCAGATTTATCGACTCTTCTTTGGGTGCATCTTCTACATCTACCTCATCAAATGCTATTGGAACTAGTGAAATATCAACTGCTTCAACTTCGTTATCAAATGATGAGTTGAGTAATTTGTTAAATTCTTCTATCACCAACATCGAAATTATTGTGCTACCTTCGTTGTTGTTTTTCAAAATTAGGACAAACCAGTGACCAATGTTTTTCTAATTTTCTTTTACTTATAGAGAACAGTGTAACACTGCTAAACAATCAACAATCGCAGATGAATCCAGCAATCATCGAACTCTAAATGATACTCAAAAAGTGTTTGAAAATTCACGAAATTCACAGAGTGAAGCAAGTAAGTTTATCTTTCAATATTATCATTTCAATTGGCAAATTTACAATTTTTATTCATCTTCTCCTTGGTCTTATATTTATCTTTATTTTACCCAGGGCGTACAAATGATGTTGAAAGTTCTTCTAATCCAAACCAAAGTAAAAGACGTTCACTCGAAGACCTTATGCGCCCTCCATTAAATTCAATGTCTAGAGAAGCTGTGGATCAGGTACAATATTTTTTCTTGAAAATTACTGAACAAAATTTTTTCTTCTGTAAACTAATCATTTTTAATTTCATCATTTTGCATCTTAGCTTGAGTTCGATGACAATATACAAGCCCGTGGATCCAAACGTACTGTGAGCACTTCATCGTTACCCTCAGCCAGCAATTCTGCGAATATTTCAACCTCTCCACCGCGATTCATGGCTTTGGAAGAGATCATGAAAGCTGCAAATGAAGTTTACAATATGTGTCTTGCCCACGAGATTGCCATGGATAAAGAATTCAAGCTGGAAAAAACTGAAACCCCACCAAATTCCCTTCACAAAAGGGTCGATGATATGATGAAAAAAGTGTTCTGGGAACTTTTACAGAATGAGTTAGACGAATCACCACCAAATTACAAAAGAGCTTTGATGTTATTAGGTGAAATCAAAGAGAGTTTGATGTCCTTCCTTTTGCCCCAACATACACGACTAAAGCAGGAAATAGAGGAAATTCTTGACCTCGATTTGGTAAAACAACAGGCCGAAAATGGTGCCCTAGATTTTCAGCGTTATGCTCATTATATTCTTTCCGTAATGGCCAGATTATGTGCGCCCATTAGAGATGAAAAAATTCGCCAGCTAACACAGACAAGAGAAGTTGTACCACTTTTCAGGTATAACACAGTTCAAAATAATACCTTTCTATCAAAACTTTCCCTCCCTTTCACTTTCTTTCTTTTTTATACTACTCATTCCTTTTTTGCTACTCTTCATCATCTTCTGCTCTATTCAATAGTTCCATCAGTTCTTTCTCCTTCCTCCTCCTCCTCCTTCCCGTACACCATCATCTGAATGTAAACATTAAAAAGTAATTTTCCTGATACTTTCACTTTTTAATCACTTTCTCTCTCAACCTTTTTTACTTGTTTTCTTTCCTCATTTCACCCATTTCATTCATTTCTTTGTTTTTATTGTCTTTCCATCCACCAAAATCCCGGAATCATTTTTTTTTGTTTAACAAGGTTTCAACTATTCTCATTTATTTTAACTTTCGGTCAAAATTGCTTGTACATTTATCCCAATAGATATAACATAATTAGAAATGCATGTCTACAACCTCTTAATGACTATCTATTATTAGCTTCATTCCTTAGTTTGTTTTTATTTGACCTAGTTCTTAGCTGAGTATAGAAAAAAGATCTTTAACTAACTTATCCTTTCTTAGTATTCCTCATAAGAACTTGTATTAAATTATCTTTAAATTAACTCAACTCTATTTTTCTTTCTTCCTCAGAGGTATCATGGAACTACTTGGTGAAATGAGACTAGATATGGCTAATTTCTTGGTACAACAAATTCGGCCTCAAATCTTACAACAATCAGTTACTTATGAAAGAAAAAAGTTCACCGAGTTCTTGGAGAATCAAGCAAGTAAGTCATCCTGACTTATCTCCTCCTTCAAGCATGAAAATAGACTTTCATCATAAAATTTTCATGTAAATTTTAGACACATTTGTTTACTGTGCAAAGTGTCAACAGATGAGAAACAAAACAAAAAGTGAACCAGACGTAAACAGCCAATTCATTATTCTTTTTACTTCCAAATCATTTGAATAGTTTGAGGTAGAATAATTGCCTCAATTTTGCCCAGCCATCAAAAGAGTAAAAAAATTCAAACCTGTTCTTTCCATCATTTAACTTGCGAACTCTTAATAATTGACTGGTTACATCCTAATTTTTGGTCATTAGGAGGAGTTTACATTTACTTAAATTTAATTGTTATCTATCTCAGCCACTCTCAATTGTTAATTATATGCAAATCCAGAATCGATGCATAAATTTAAGAATAAGGCACAGTTTATGTCTATTTGTTATTTGCATTAATCATTAAATCACTTTTTTCTTTTCTTTATTTCATAGAATTGGGCAAATCCGATGGCCTGGAATATACAAAGAAATGGTTAAAACGAAATTACGAGGAACATGATTTTTCTGGAGAAAGCACAAAAGAAATTATTAATAAGGTATTAACTTCATCATATGTTCAACTGTTGGTTTGGGATGAAAGTTTGCAAGAAATGTTTCCGGAAACCCTGTTGTTGGATGAAAAGAGGATAATTGCACTCAGAGATTTCCTTAACCTGAACATTTATGTTGGAAGCGCACTTTTGGTTACAGTCGCTGCATTCCCGTCAGTTCAAAGTCTATCTGACCTTAAAGAGTTGATCCGAGATCATCTATTAGTAATATTAGATGAAAAGGACGATAAATTATCAGACTTGGAAACAAGATTAGAAGGCGCTGCTCTTCAAATTATCACTGATCTCAAGAAATACACTGATGACCATGTCTTTCCCGAGATTGATTCAGTAAAAGAGGCTTCTTTGAAAGCTCAAATTGTCGATCTAAAAAATGAAAATAATCGGATCCGTCAAATTGTCCAAAGAAGAATACTTGAGTTTGTTGAATCCGTTTTCACTTCCAATACGGCATCGCCCGTACAGATGCCAAAAGGATTAACGGCACTTCAAAGAAGTTTATCTTCCATTGCGGGTCAATTTATGCGTATAGCATCACACAATCGTGCTGTATATGGAAGTTATTATGCTAACATAATTACTGATCTGGTTAACAACAAGCTTTAAAAGGAAACAACAATTATTAATCCCTTTTATGGATAGTTGATCCGAAGTATTGTGATTAAGCTTAAAACAAAGTCAAAACAGACCCATAAAGGTCAATCAAGTGAGCAAATTAATGTAAATTTGTGATGAGGATAAACAGGCTGATATTAAATTTGCAATTTTTCTTCTCTATCGCAACATCTAAACCAACTACTCTTATCAGGATATCATCTATTTTTCACGCTAAACAAACATGGAAATTTCATTCTTCTCTGAATTAGTATTATCATGATGCCAACACAAAGAAGAAACCAGATGAAATTTTCAATCTATTATTTACTCCAAAATTTAACATATTGTTCAAGTAAAAATATATCAATACTTGTTCTGTATATTTATATAGACATGCCTAAAAGAATATGCTTGAATGTGTATAACACCTGTAAATTACAAGAAATTCAAGAGTGATTATGTAAATTGTGATCCTTGGCCCTTACAATCGTGATCCTGATAATTAAAAAGTAAGGCTGACGATCAAACGACACTTGAAGAAAACAAGGAAGTAACAAAAACAACTCGAACAGTGATGATGACCAAGTCAAACTTTCGATACCAGAGAAAGTACCAAATTATTCAAATCATATTTAAAGCTAGATTTTCATTATGTTATCCGGAAACCCTATTAATTGAATTTAATCACCCTTACAGCATATGATTTCATATGAATTGTTTTTTTTCTGTTTTATTGTATTTTTCTATTCTCACTTGTACCCTCTTCACTATCATGTACATATTGGGTTAAGGAGAGGCAAAAAATCATCTAGGTTATTGTAATAATAAATCACGACTTATGCTATCCATCAATTGTATTACATTGCACAAAATTTCTGCTATCAGATACAACATCTCGATATCCACAAATTGTTTCACGGACATTACAAAGGATAATGCTCTACGTATTTCGTGAGCACATTTACAATATAATTGTTGACTTGTTCACCAGCATCAATACCATAAATATAATCAAAATGGTTCCATCTTTTATCACTGACAATGTAATCGTGGAAAATTTTACCTGTGAAATGAAATAAAATAATTGATTGATTTACATAGATTTTTTCTTTCATTTCTACTTACTTTTTAATTTTTTCCTTAATTGCTGAACATCATCTGTGGACGCAATACGATCATTAAGTCCACTTATAAGTATAATTTTGTCCAAATCAATGTTTGAATAAGGATATTTTGGAGGCGTCTCATATCCGTATAGATCGTTGTTGGTGTCTTCATCATGATCAAAAAGACGCCAAATGTTAGATTCTTTAGCTTGAAATAAATGCTCAACTGTTTTCATAGAAACATAATCAATGTTATTGAAATAGACGCCTAGTCGACTCTCGTCTATTTTGTCAGGGTTCATGCCACCTATCATGTCAAATACAGCTGTGCAGATAACTCTTAAAGATGGATTTTCACAAAAGGACGTGAAAATGTTTTTAATGGTTCGATCAATTTTAGGGGGAAATTTTCCGTCATAAAGTCCAACTATATCAAGGGCAAGTGAGCTGTCTAAAAGTTTACCAAAAGGACCTTTCACATTACCAAAATAGCCGATTGGACCTAAAGCGATGAACATATCGATGTAATAAGAGTAATGAGGAGCGAATGAAAGCAGCGCAAGCACTTGTGTTGTACCAAATGAATGCCCAATAACAGTTATTTTTTCTGAAAATTGAAGATACAAATAAATTATTAGTTTCAATTCAAGTCCAAACTCTAAAAATTTAGACGTTTGTAACTTACTGTCCGTTAAGTAACGAATGTAGTCGATAACAGCAGATGTGTCTTGCATGGCCATGTCATCTATAGTAAAGTCCCAAAATTCATCATCTAGATGAAAGGATAATTTGTTTGAAACATGATTAGTATTGCAATGTATCTTTATTAAAACATGTCTTACCTTCTGGATCCAGTGTTGTATGATTTTGTGAATAACTGTTGCCTCGATTATTGGCAAGCCAAACATCATATCCTGAATTGGACAAAAGAAAGGCCAGACTGTTACCTTTCATCTCAGATTTTTGTTCATGAACCCATGGAATTATTTTTTCATCAAACGAGTTCAACATCCAGACGGAAGAAGTAGCAAATAGGCCATGTTGAAGAAGGACTGGATGTAAATTGTCAGCTCCTAAGGCGTGCTCTGCATAAGGATTGATGATACGAAATAGATGTAAAATGTATCCATCTTTGGTTGTAACATAATGATCTTCATAAGAGAAACCTCTTGATAAAATAAATTCTTGAGTAGTTCGATTAGCATCAGGATCATCTGACCAGTTTGAGTCGTTTGACGGTTTCATTGGTGGAGTTACTGTCTTAAAAGATGACAATGTAGAAGCCAAATTATTTAAAGTATTTAGGGACGAAGACAATTGTGAGAGTGGATCAACTTGTTGACTTTGGTGGTGTCCAAATGCATTAGCTAATAGATCAGTCACCAAATCAGCATTGTCTGATTCTAACACTTCTGTATATAACCTATTGAGTATTTCATTAGTCAATGGAAGAGTGCTGTTTGAAGATCGAGGTTTACAGTCAATTTCAATCCACAAGAACACGATTAATATCAATTTGACGAAATACATTATAACACAAAAAAACCAAAATGACTGATCTGGTTAAACCTAAAAACTTTGGTTAACACATAAGTCTAACCAGAAAGCCTTTCAAAACCTTTAGCCAGATGAGTAAATAGATTTGCAAGTGTTAATTGACTTGTCATGGGTTCATTTTTACCTTGGCTTCTCATTTTAATCAGTCTTAATAGCAAAGCTTGAATTGAATCAACAGAGCCATTTTTTATTTACCATAGCATTGTAAATTCAAAAATAATAATTTCTATTGTAATTATCAATCAAAACCAGGCAAGTCGTCTTTGAGTTTCCATCTCATGAAATCTAAAATTAAATATCTAATAGATTACGAATAGCTGCAGTCAAGTGAAGCGGCAAGATTCAACTCTTATTAATCTTCCTCCTAGGTTAACACTTTGAGCTCACAATTTGCCCAATCGTTTGATAATCAATCTTCATATTTTCCCCAACATACCCAAGTAATTTAGACAATGTTACAAGACTTTTAACACATCGATCATGTTTTGAGTCAGTTATCAAACATATTACAGTTTAATTTTCAAATAATTTACAACTCAGGCCCAGTGATTTTGGTTGAACATAGCTAATCAACTAATCAGAGCATTTAGATTTTCACAAATATATTTGCAAATGGCAACCTCATTGAACTTGTTGGTCAACATGTTATGAGTTTTACTTGAAATGTGAAAAGATTGAACAATATGATTGGTTTGGTTAAAATGATGATTTTTATCAACCAAGTTATAGTGAGTTTACAATTGAAAAAAAGGGCAAATGATAATAACAATTAATTGTAGGTTAGGTTAAACTGGCACACCTAAAATAATCAACAATCTATTAAAATCTAGCAAAATATGTTATAATGATTTACAATAGTTTAGTGGGAACAAATTAATGTTTCCCTGTATAATCATTGTAAACATGATTGTTAATGAAAATGGTTTTAATTTTTTGAAACAATCTTGAACACATCAAAATGTGATTTAAGGAAACTAATGAAATCTATTTAATCAACCTGCAAATTAACCCTGCAAATAATCAACAAAGCCAGACAAAGAGTGCGATTAACAGCAAACAAAATTAATCTTAATCACATTCACATCAACAAACTCAGTTTACATGAACAAAACTACTTGCATTTGATCCTGAAGTAAACCTAAATGTCAATTTGTTTGCTAATTACTTTTAATTGTATTTACTATTAAGGTTAAATCAAGTGTTGATTAACCTTCCAAAGCGTTAGAAGCAGCAGAAATGTACATTTGTTTGTTAATTTACAGTTTCGTGTTGGTTAAATGTCTTTACATTGCATTGACGATACATTAGGTTTGTAACAATTAATACAGTAGTGACTTTCAATTGAATATTTATGAGTAAACTGCTTGGTTAATCAATAAATGGCTATTAATTGTTGTATTTTAAAATGAAAATTGCATTCTCAAGACAGACTTTCAATAGACTTTCAAATTAATGGCGTTTAATTTTAATTTGAAAGCTTACAATTTACCAATCATTGTTGGATATGATTTAAGAGTGTTTTGAAAAAAAGATGAATCAATAGTAAAGGTGTTCAAAAGTGTAAAGAGGTGAACAGGTAAAACAATGAGGAAAACATTTGAAAAATGAATGAATTTCCAGGTGCAATTGTTGACTCATTGAATGATGGTGTTGTTGATGAGATTTGGTGATGATCCTAATCATGATTGTAAATGTTGGATGAAGTGATGAAGACGTTTGTGGGATGCTGATTATGGTTAGTGTGATTTGGGTTACTCTGGTTGACAGTTTAAGCTAAAATGGATGAGAGTGAAACATTAACATTTTGGGTGTTCTTCAACTGTTGATTAAATCACAAAATTAACATAATACGATTAACATTGACTTGTCAAAATATATTAACCATAATTTTGTTTGCATTTTGATTCAGAAGATGAAAACGGTTACAATTGTTTATTAATTGTTGTATAATAAAAGGCCTTAGCCAGACTAATTCAAACAGATTGAGTAGGTTTCTTTTTCATGAAATCTGGTTATCTTTATGATAAACAAGCAACAATTCATCCTCATTGTCATCATCATTATCATCACTTACTTTGATAATACAATTAATTGCTGTCAGGTTAACTGTTAACAATTAACCTTTCGCTCTAAATCGCCTTTCTCAGCCTTAATTTAATCATCAACATCATTGTTAACTACAACTGTCACACACACAAACCTTACCACAGCTGACTTGAATACTCACATTGCTTTGACTTTTCACAGTTGAATTCAAGTTAATAGCAATCAAATTTATTATCAAATTTCCAATTAGACCAACAATTAGAGTGACTGTTGGATCAACAATTAGATCAACAATTAGACCAACTGTTAAAATTGCAGTTAAAAATGTAAAGTAAATTCAAAGTAACTTACTGCTAAAACCCGTAAAAGGCAGAAGATTGGGTTGAAGATTCAATTTCTGGTAAAGCTACCCAGTTAATCACAATTTGGCTTGAAGGCTAAAACTTTTTGAATTAAATGGCCGACTCCATTTGATCAGTGAATTAATTGTTGCTGGCTAATGGTTGAATGAACAAGTAAACTGATATCTGGTAAATTAACAGTTAAAATAATGATTAACCTAAACTTGATCCTGTCACCCATTTTTGTGTTTTGTTTACATCCCTATAAGATACCAGTTTGAGAATAGATTTACCAAATTTACTTGATCTTCTCTTCATTATTAATAGTTTACTCTCAATGATTAATTTATATTAATCAGTTAACCGAATAAAAAACAAATAAATTGTACCTTTTCAAGGGTAAATCAAGGCGTAATCAGGCAATAAGTTGATTTATAATTTGTATTTCTCTTCATCTTTTAAAATAATCGTAACAATCAAGTTGAATGGCGAGTGAATACATATGAGAAGATGAACAGTAAGTGTATCTTGTTGTTACCCACTTACTTAATTGTTTTCAATATACAACATTAACATATTAAACCATCTTCTTAATCGCTGTATTAACTCTATTATTATTATCATTATCACTTGCACTCTTCATTTGACCTCAATTGATTGACCGTACTTTAAATTGCTCCCAATTGATAATCATTTTTGACCATTACACGGTATCAATTGGTTTTTCATTTTCAATGAAAATTTGAAAACAAAAAAGACTGTCTTTCCAATTTTGTATTATTACCTGGATTAAAGTGATTGTTAAGGTAAAGCAAATATATTAATAAATGATCAACCCGAATCAACAGTTGATTTACATTTTTCAAATCAGTTTAGGATCAAATAGTAAAAGTTGAAATCAATTTCTTGATTACAATCATGTTTCCATTCAAGTATAATCAAGATTTTTCAATACAAACTATTTCCTATCATTAAGTTATTTTGCATATTTTCGTTTAATGAAACCAAAACCAGGAACTTGATTTGATTAATTAGCCAATTGGGTTGAAAAAAGTTATTACCAGATCATCTGCTATTATTAAGATGACAATCTAGTCAAAGTAGACAATATCACTTGTGATTAATTGAAATCTGTTCTTGACTTGGAAAGACCATTAAGTGTCACTATTAATACCATTGGTAGACTTTGGTAGCAATTTAAGGTTGTCTTAATAACAATTGACATAATTCAATGAAATATAGATCGGTGAGTTGCTGTATTTGATTAGCATTAGTCAGATTTAACGGTTACCTTTAAACGTTGAAATTGTCTTCACTTTTCAATGTCTTTTTTCAACAGCTCTAATTGATGTTATCAGGTTTCTTGATAATTGAAGTAAATATAAAGATATGTTTATTGAATTGATCAAGTCAAAATGTGACAGATAATCATTTTGAATGACAAACCACAAAATGAAACAAATATTCATTGAGCAGTCAGTAATGGCGTTTAACTGCAGTAACATGATATCTTGGATTACACATTATTAGGATTACCAGCAACTCATTAAAGATTGAGATTTCAATCAGTCTAATACTGAGTGGATTAAACTGCAAGCTTTGTTGAACAGGAGAAAGCTGTTTCATCAAAGTAATCAGTTGATAGTCTGGTATTCTTGAAAAATAATCAATTATCTCGGTTAGAAAATTTTACTGTTGACTCGGAAATTGTTGAGAGATCGGTTATCCATTTCACTGTTTACTAATGCCAATGATTAAGTTTAAAGGTTGGTTAACATCCAATTGAGTTGATTTGCATCGAACGGTTTAAATCTTTTTGTGTATCCCAGAATTTTATCACATTTTGAATTTTCCTTTCATGGGATTCAAATTCCTTAATTGTTATCATTATCCGTTTTACACCACCCAATATTTTTTGCATCTTGCAATGTTAGTATCGTTTGATAATAATAGTAATTTTTATTACTATTACAACTATTAAATCTATCTTTCAGTAGCCATTCCAATTATCAGCGATCCATTCAGCAAAAGCCAGCAAAATCAAGGTTATTTTATTACATTTGGCCACTTGAATGTATCTTTACCAAGAGTTACATTCACATCCACACCTAACCCACACACAAAATGGCGCTAGAGCAGACCAAGTTGATTACATTGATCCTTATATCACGAAGTAACCTTGCATCGGAAATTCTTGATTATTATTTATTAATTTACTTTGAATCTATCAATCAATTCAATTTAAATCTCTTTGAACATTTTCCATGTTTTTCGTATTTCCCAATTTCTCTCATTGAAGGTTCCAGTAGAATGGGTCAGCAGATGGTTCCATGGCTTTTCCCGTTGATTCCAATGTGAGTTTCAAGTTGCAACCAGTTGATTATCAGGAGTGAATTCAACAGTAATATCTCATTTTAACCATTTCACCAAATGTGAATGATGATGATGGTGAATAAATCATGTAGTGAATAGAGTAATGGTGAAATGGACCATTGGTTTGTTGATAAACGGTTGATTGGACGATTAATCAAGTTCACATTGGAAACAAAGATTTATTCCGTTCTTTTTTTGTACCAATAATTTGTTTCTCCTTTTTAAAGCCTTTGATCTATTTTAAATAACGTGGTTTCCCTTCATTGATTTGTAGATGAAAAAAAGTTTCTGAAGCGCATCAGATTGACCCAGAAGCTAAGTAACAAAAAGATGTTAGAAAACCTTGAAACTTGTTTTAATCATTATCGATTTAAAGTCTAGTCGCGTTTCATCTCTCCTGAGTTTTATAGCATTATCACCAACATGAAATCCTTTTACACCTTCTTTGAGTTTGAAGCAGTTGCTGATGATGATGTTCATTATTCTTTTCTCATTCTTCTTCTCCTTCGGAATCTTCTCAAATAGATGAATCAGATAATTAGACTTGTATAGAGAAGGCCATTTTTGTTCTGAATCGGTAGCCTGTGTCCATTTTTATCAAATTATTTGGAATCGGGATGAGGCCGCTTTCTTCTTTTCCTTTTTCATTGCTTTTCATTTCCTTTCTTGTTATCCTTTTGTCAAAGTAGATCTGATGATGATGATGATGATAATGATAATAATAACGATCCAGCTATAAAGTAAAATGAAAAGCGAGAAAGAAATTAGAAGATGCAACAAAAAGATGTAACTCAATAAAGATTCATTCTTATTTACTAAAATTAACTGATCATGATGATACCAATCAGTTTAATGGTTATTCATTCATTAAGGGTACCATATTCGAGACTTGGTCACATCTGTAATCGTCTATTGTTGTATCTATTATATTGTTGACCCATTCTAATATCGTTACCATTCTAGTGTCATATTCATCATTGTTGTTGACCAATTGCTGTTGATAATGGTGGTGGTGGTGGCGATGACTTTATGGATTTGGTCATGCTTTTCATCTTAAAATAACTCAACATGATTTATATGGACGAAAAGGATTTCTCACTAAAATTTTTCTTCTTTTCTCAAAGTTATCAAATGAACTGATACAACTTGGTTTAGCTTGAAAATAACAACAGCAATAATCATGATTATGACTATCATGATGATCTTCGCTCCTTTCCTAATGATGATGGTGATTCTTGAGTTAACTTTGGTAATCTGAGTATCAAATTGACCTTGAGCATATATCGGTCAGTATATTTAACAGGCAGGATCACCATTGAGTGAGATGCAAGTGTCCGTGTAGGTTGAAGATGGTTGTCTTTTCATCCTATTGAAAGACTAAAGAGAGTGAAAAAAGAAGAAAATATGCTTTAAAAGCAGTGAAAATGAAAGATAAGTTATAAATTACCTTTTACACTTTTGATACACAAACAAAGCAAAATTTGGGTACCATTAATGTGCCAAAAAGTAAAGACTTTAGGTTAAAGGTGATGCGTGTTTGTGAATATAATCTTCAACTTAATCTCGGTCCTGTTTTGCTGCCTGCTTGTTTGTTGATCAATCAACGTTTTGTTTCCCCTTAAAATGGTTAATTTATGCTAAACGGCTAAAGTTAAAATTAACAATAAAATGCAAGCTTGAGTCTAAAAGATCAAAGGTGAAGGCCAAATTGCTAACACAACCGGCAAACTAACCGTTGTTAATTTCTGGTTACCTTCTGATTCTCATATGGTAAGCAACTGGTTATTTTTCTGGTCATCTTCCGCAAATCTTCTGGTTATCTGGTAATCTTCTGGTAATCTTCTAGTAATCTACTGGTTACCTTCTGAAAATCTTTAAACAGTCTTCTGGTAATCTTCTGGTAACCAATTATCGTGTTTCGTCAAAACAAAACAAATGCTTATATAAAAAAAGGGAGCGAGAGAAAAAGAAACAGTAACAAAGTGGTTATCAAGACTGGGCTATAATAACAAGTAAGAAATAACTGAAAAAAATGAAGAGAAAAAGTTACCTGGATGGTTATGATGATGTTGATGATGACTTGTTTCGAGACTAGATGTTAAACCGGTTTGTTGTTGGTTGTAACTACGATTCTTTGCGAGGGTTGACCTCTCTCTCTCTTTTTGGCTTTCCTCCTGGTTCTTACTCTCCTTTCTCGCAGTGTCTTTCTATCTACCTTTCTACAATAACCACAACATTTAGTGTTGTGGTTGCTGCTGCTCATCACCATCGCCACCATCAGAGGTAATAGAGAGATAAACATTCTTTCTGTTTGATTTCGTTCTAAGTGTTGATTCTAACATAATTTTTAAAACCTTTCTCCAATTTACAGCTTTCCATGTCACTTTGTGTTATTCCTAGTTGTGTAAAGTCCTTTTTGGTATCTTCTTTGATGATTGTTCAAAAAATTTGCTTTTAATGATCCTGTTTGGTTGCTATTTATCATCCTTTCTCGCCACTTTGGATTAATTCTTTCATCTAACCAGCTAACCATGTTACCATTATCCTGGTATTGACTTGCTGTTGATGGAAATATATTTAATAACCAATGATTCCGCTGGATAATATTGCTCCAAGTAGCCACCATCCTTGGTCATCTCATCTGTTGTTCAACCATCTATTGCTGTTCAGCTGAAAGGGAAACAAAAGAGAAACATTTAAGCAACAAAGTTCTTCCATAATCATCGTAAACATCAAAACTCATCATCGACATCTTCAACATCGTTTTCCTATCTACCTTGAGAGTTAGTGAAAAGAAACACTGGGGAAAGAAAGAGAGGGAGAGATAAAGAGAGAGGAGAGTGAGTAAGGAATAGAAAAGAGAAAAAAAAAGTCAAGCAAAAAAGACCATGAATATGCTGAAGTGTTTTTAGTGGGTGCGGGTTACTGCTTCATGTTACAGTTAAAAACACCAATATTTAAAACATCTTTTTAATATCGATGCGATTAAATAATCTATTGTAAAGTGTTACCTTCAACTTCAACGTAATTGACAATTATCAAAGCTAAAGAAAATTTAAAAGACAACAACTTACCTTTTTATTTTCATCTGTTTTACCTCACTCCAGTAAAACGTTGTAAAGTGTCTTTATATATATTTTTTTGTTGCCTTCCAATTTGTGAATGTGTGATCAACTTTAATATCATCATCAATTTAACCATATTAGTAGAACAACAAATCAAGTTAAAAATCAACGTAACCATGTAATTGTTGCTGTTGCCATTATTGAAATATAAGAAGAACAAGAGAAGGAAAAGTTTATTTCTTTTACGTATACATATTGGTTTTTGCAATCCAATGGAAATATAAAAGAAAGGAATTAACTATTAATGTTTAACCGTCAACTCATTAATTTTTTACACTAACTCTAAAGTTAATGGATGTTATCAAAGGCAGACTTCTTGACCATACGTAGCTGTGTTGACCGTTGCTGTTACCACACTGTTGCCCACCTGATGAGTCTGTTGCTGTTGTTTATTTTTGGATTACCTTTGGAGAAATTTTTTTAGTTGTTTTGTTTTATTTTTACATATTTTTGTCTACTTCTGTTGTTATTTACAATCCTTTACCATTACTCAATCTGTACACTGGTAATATTTTTTGTTTTGTTTTCCTGGTACATAAATTTGGATTTATTTTGGCAAAGAAGGACTTCTACCAATATTTAGAGAAGGCAATTATAGGATTTCAACAATGCTTCGATTTTTATCCAAACGTTTTGGAAGAAGTTTTCGTCGTCGATCTAAATCAGCTCAAATTGGAACAGCCACACCTAATACTGATGAAAATGATCAACCAACAATTACCATTAATCCAGCAGGTTTTACCGGAAATTTTAGTCAAAAAAATTATATTCATTGCAAGATAATACTTTTAGATGGTAACAATTTAACTGCGTATGTTCACAAGAAGGCCAAAGGAGACGAGCTATTCAATGGTGTTACCGATCATCTTGATTTAAAAACGGAATTTGATTATTTTGGTTTACAATATACAGATACAACATCGGTTCAACATTGGCTTGATCTTACCAAATTGGTTAAAAAACAAGTTACCATTGGACCTCCTTATACCCTTCACATGAGAGTTAAATTCTATTCATCTGACCCAAATGGATTAAAGGATGAATATGTTCGTTACCTGTTTTTCCTGCAGCTCAAACAAGACCTAGTAACAGGAAAATTACCTTGTGATAAACCAACCACGGCTAAATTAGCAGCTCTAGCCTTACAGTCAGAGTTTGGGGAATATGAACCTGATTGTCATGATATTGGTTTTGTCTCAGAATTTCGTTTTGTTCCCGAGCAAGATGAAAGTTTAGAAGAGATGATTTTGGAAGAATGGAAGCAACTCAGACCTAAACCGGTAAGGATTCATTTAATGTGTTGAATGTCGCCTCTCTCTCCCTTTACTGATCTGTTAGCATAAGTTGAAGAAAAAAAACCTCGACTGTAATGATGTTAACTGACAAAAATTTGTCAACTTAATTGACTCATGTTTCATTACTAAACAACCGTCAATTTTACCGTCACCATCACAATCTTATCACCATTAAGTTGAATCTTATTCAAACATCTTATAACAATTCAATTTCCCTTTTGCACCTTATTATTTTATTAGCAAAGGCTGCAAAATAGTGTGTTTCCAATGAGGCCAAACAATTTACTTTGTCGGTTTTCAATTGGATAATACAGTTTTTTTTCTTCGTTTGATTGTGTTCATGATGGTATTGATTGAAATATTTCTTATTAACTTTATTATCATTATCTTTTACCTGTTAATATTTCCCTTTGCTTTTTATTTTCTTCATTTTCATTCATGATTCTCTCTTTGATCAGTCCGAGTTTTATTTTCAGAAAATAATAAAAGGCTTAAAATCTGTTTAATTGGTTTCAACAGAGGAATGAAACAGAAGAAAGAAGAAGAAGGAGAAGAAAGCGATTTAGAAGAGGATTCAGTGGAAGATTCAGAAGACTTGAAAAGAGGAAAGACCAATGAAGAAAGAAACTGTTTACCCGAGGAAAAGTTGAAAATGTTGATTGCCTGTTGAGTTGATGATCAACTCATGTTAATATTAACCCTCCCCTAAAAATGATCCTCATCATTATCAGTGAAAGTTTCAAAATGTTGACTTCTCTTCAGATAAATTTTCCTCAGCTATTAACCCTTACTTAAGATGAAAAAGAGTAGATAGAATCATGTTTTCTTCCACCCAACAACAACAACAACTTTCTCCAATGATATTAATCAGTTTTGATTGTTAACAAGAAACCTAAAAGCGACACAAATCCAATGCTTATTGAACCAAAAACCAACTTTCACCTTGATCAACAGAATCCTCATGAGAAGAGTAATTTCATGTTGGATAGTTTTTTCAGATGACATTTTTTTTCATTTCATTTTTGTTCACCAGCTTTTTATACATCTTTTCATATATTGTATTTATATTGTTTAGTTGAGTCGTTTTTGTCATTCACAGTTGCAATTATTATCATTATGACTATTTATGTTGTTGTTATTATTTTCATTTCTCATTATTAGCAGAACTATTATTATGTTGATTATTTGAAGTCGCAAGTCTCATTGTTAACAATCAATATATTAAGAGTCTCTCATTGCTCCTGATAATTGTCATGTCAAGGTTTCTTTCGATTTCACTTACCTGTTGAGTTTATATAAGAGATACAATAGTTTTCCATCTACATAGAGTTTAATGAGTCCTGTAACATTTCGATTCACTTGAGTAATTTTTTATTCAAAAAATTACCTTTTCTACCTATTCCCTCTTCCTCTCCCACTTTCCCCGTCTCTGCAGCCTCTATTAAATAAACTTGCCCTAAATCTCAAGTCACATTGTCATCATTATAGTGGGCTTGAATGATAAAAACATTGAGATACTTTTAGCAAATCTTAATTTACCAAACAATCTTGTTAGATCCGTAAGATTGATATTATTCAATTGAAACTTTGGACTCAGAGACTTACAAGATGAAGCTTCATCTTTGGCTTCTCTTCCCTTGACTTTTCATGGCGTCCTTCAGACATTTTTATTTCTTACCTCACTCTTTGTAATCAAACAATCTTTTCCTCTCCATCTTCGCTCAATTACTCCTGCAATCTAATCCTTTCAATCAATGCATTTCAAATTGATCAGGAATTTTGCTTCTCAATGATGAAAATTTGTCTCCAGCAGAGAGAGAGAGAGAGAGTATCCATTTTGATAATATTTCAAACTGTCCGATGGTAAAATGAAAATTGAATGATAATTGATTTCATTCACATCTATCACTTTCAATGCTCATATGTTTCAGGATTGCTTTCTCCATTGTTATGAACTTAGCTTTAATGAACATAATTAGACTTGGTTTTCATTGTCAAGATTGTCATTGTTATCATCATTGTTATCATTATTGTTGGTACATTAATCTTCAACTGTCACTTCATTTAACCTAAATAATTAATTAGAGGCAATTTTTACTTTCCTTTTTATAATTATTTCATTACATCATTTTAATCAGGTTTCATCCTTGATTTTTGACAAAAAAAATACATTTGGTTGATGAGAAAATCAATTTCAAACAGAAGTCGAATTACGAATACTCAACCTCATTGAAGGGCTTTCAGTGTTTAACATGTCATGTTTAGTTGAATTAATCACTACTGATGCTGGTTTATTTAACCAGATTAAGTCATTTCCATCACCATTAATTTAACCGACATTTTTGTCATGTTCAGGGAAAATTTTCAAATAAAATAAATGAAAAAAGCGCTAATTAACCTAAGAAATTTTATCTCTACGAGATGGCGTTATTTTTAATTTTAGCTCAATTAACATCAAACATTGAAAATTAAAAGCAACCAAATTTAAGTCAATTGATTTTCTCATGTTTATTATTAATATCATCAAATCAACTTTAGCCATCAAAATAACCATCATTTGATTACCTGAGTCGTTTGAATTTAGTTTGTTTATTTTTTCAATAACAATGCAAAATAATTGATGATTGGTTTAACATTTCAGATTTTTGAATTTGAAATTCAAATCAAATGTGATTGAGGAAAATTATTGAAAGATATTTGCTTTCCATGATTCAATTGTTGAATCATTCAATTTGATGGCTGAGAAACAGCTTTGTTTCAATTTTATTGAAAGTTGGGAATAACTCAAGGTTGAGGTTAAAGGTAAACAAATCTCAGCATTTCTCATTCAAGTTTAGTGAAAGTTGAAAATAAGTAACGTCGGCAATGATCAGTTATTATCATAACCAGTGAATGTTTTTCGTTGAAAAGTGAGTTCGATTTGAGCGAATAAACGAAGCACTTTGACAGTGATGTAAATTACAACCTAACAACATTTCAATTGAACCAAAAGTGATGTTGATAATGGAGACTGTTTTGATGATTGTTTTGGTAATGAAAAAGGATAAGATGAGACTAATGATGTTGATGAATCTTTTGGTTTTGTTGTCCGTCTATTATTAATTTTGCTTGATTCAATTTCATATTTAACTCTTTAAAAGATTGTTAAACTTGAATTGCCGCATCATTTACAATCTTCCGAGGTTCCAATTTTAATACAATTATTAATTGAGAAAAAGAGCGTTTAATAGCTTTAGCTTGGACATCATTACAGACATAATGAAGACAGTCTACATCATGTAAAGTAGACCTGGGCAAAGGTGAATTCAAATATAATTTTTGATCGTGAAATGATTTAGAAGATGAAAGTTGAAAAAATTTTGACCCCAAATCAAGTGGATTCTAGTGATAATGATTATTGCTGTTACCTAGACTACTTTATTCATTGTTTGGATCATTAAATAACTATTATAGTTTATTTGATCATTTTACGATTTGGTTTAACAACACTTACAATTATCGTTACCATAAAGATGACATTCATCAATAGGATAAGCCAATAAACAATTTGACTCAAACTGATGATCATAGCTCAATGCTACGCACAATTTATCACTAGATTTAGGTTTAATTTGATTTAAGTTGTCCATTAATTTGTAAAGAATATAACAATTCATTGTGATTTAGTTGTTTGACAAACATTTGCTGTTTAATCATTTCCAAAAAGGTTCAATGATTTGAATCTTCAAATCGATGGAATGGATAGCATCAAGAAATGTTTCAATTGATATTGATGAGGTTAACGTAATAAGGTTTATTTGATCTTGCACATTAATCGGCTAATTAACATGATTTATGGAAGTTAAAATTTATAATAAGTAAAATGACATATTAAACATGATCATCGATACTAGTAACAATAGACTAAATTATTCAGAGTTTGACTTGAAAGCATTTTTTATTCAGAATAATTTGCATTTCACTTGAATCTTGTGAACAGTTTCTGAGTTTTTATGAGATCGTCATCGCTTGTCTAACAGCGAAAATTTGAGCAACAAAATTCCCATCATCCTATTTTTGAGTGTTACTTTAGTCATCGAATTGCCTGTCATCCTGAAAATGTGAAAGTAGAAGAAGAATAATCTTTTTTCTTATGTTTCGTCTTGAAGGTTCAGTTCCTTCTTCCATCAATTTCTACTTCTTTCAAACAATGAGTATTCCAGTTTATCTCAAGACCTTTTCCGCTTAAACTAACTGAGCAACAATACGAAAAAAAACATCTAAAACATCTCTTTGTAGCAAAAGTTAATGTAACTTACAAAACTTGTAAGACATTAATTGTTTATGTTTTCAAGTTTCATTGTTCCCATCTTCAGAGAGCTAAAATGCTCAGTTTCAATCAATCTCAATTCCATGATTACAATCATTTTCAGTAATAACTTGATAACTAGGTAAAGCTTTAATGTGAAATAAGCAAGTAATGAAGGCAGCTTCGCGATTTTGTGATCTATCGATATTTAATTAATAAAATTGACCATTAAATTAAGTTCAATGTCCATGTTAATTAATGCGGAACTATTTTTGAACTTTATGAAACCATTATCTAAGTTCAAGTTTAAGGTTAATTGTTTGTAATTATTTTATGCTTTGTTGATTCAATAATGATACTTTTGAACTAACTAAAGTCAAGCTAATTGTTTTACGTTATTCTTGGCTGAACAAATGTAACAATATTACTGATGTAATCAACGAACTGAATAATGATACTTAGTTCAATGTGAAATAATTATCTTTGCTACTCACCGTTGCACAAATGTATCAATTTTACTAGATCAACGAACTGAATAATGACATTTTACAGTAGCAGGTATGATCAGTTATTTCGAAGCGGAACAAATAATTCCGGAAGCGTATAGTTTGACTTGACTAAAATTACAATCCTTTTCCACTATAAAAAGACAATTAAGATTTGTTTTTTTGTCATTCGTACCCAATATTTCAAAGATGATGTTTGGGAACGATGAAGAAGAGTTACCTGCTTTAGAATTGATACTTGACATATCACAAGTTTACCCTCGAAGTGAAATGAATACTATCCCCGTTGCAACCATTTCAGATGGTCGAAACAATTTTGAATCCACACCACTCATAGCAACAATCCGCCCTCGAGTTACTTCAGCAAGGATGATTTTCAATCAAAGATCTCCTTCTGGATGTTTTGCACGACATGTCGATGCTGAGTATCCAGATTATATCACACTTGCAAGCAGATTGTCAACGTACGGCGATTGGATAAATACAAATATATCCTCGACTGCATTAGCTGAAGCTGGTTTTTACTACACTAAGAAATTAGACATTGTTGCATGTTTCCATTGTGGTGTACATATATGTGACTGGCTTTCTGCTGAAAATCCTTGGGTTTCGCATGCAAAGTTTTCTCCTTGGTGCACATTCATTTACATTAGATGTGGGAAAAGTTTCATTGATTCATGTCTTAAAAATGAACCGATACAAACACAAGATTCATCACTAGTTGAGCCAACAGAAAGTCGCTATACATGTAAGGTTTGCCTGGAAAAAGAAATTGGCGCCTGTTTTTACCCTTGCGATCATTGTGTCACTTGTATCAAATGTGCACCAGGTATCGCTAGTTGTCCTATCTGTCGTGCAGAAATAAAAGGGGTTTTTAGACTGAAACTCATTGAATAAGTTGCATTCATCATGCAGTACCTGCAAGAAAACGTTTATATTGCTAACATTGTAACATCCTTTACTTTAAACTCTAAACTTTCTCGAGAACTAATTAAACAAAATTTTCCCTTTATCAAGTACACAAAATCTTTTTCGGGAGGTATAATGAAATATCCCGACGGTTGTCTCTTGATTTTCGATTCGGGAAAGATAAACATTACCGGAGTACAAAATATTTCAACATCATTTTTACTTATTGATCGTTTTTGCTCCAAATACCCCGCTGAGGTTCGTGTTACAGCATACAGAATCGTAAACATTACTGCCACCTCAATGATTGTTGGAGACTTTGATTATCAAAAATTAATACTTCATCCTGGAGCCACTTATGAACCTGAACTTTTTCCAGGCATAAACCTTAAACTTGATAACTCAAACGTTACTTTCATCATTTTTAGATCAGGAAAAGTTATAATAACAGGTTTGAAAAATTATGAATCGGTGTATCATTACTGTGATGAATTTGACTATAACATAAGACTGAAGCCAATATAAAGATAATGATTTTCATGCATTTATCAAAATTGCAACAATGGATATGTCTCCAGCTGATTATCATCGAATGTGGTACAAAAAAGTACTCTTTTCTGTACAATTAATCGTATTAATTGCAATGCTTATAACAGCAATTACTAATATTGTGCTTAAAACTGGTAATTTACCACTTTGGACGGCTGTACTCGGATCCTCCCTCGGTTATTTGCTTCCGAATCCAAAATTGGGATCTTTCAAATCGGAAAATGTAATACAAACACCCTCTAATCCCTCATCAGTTGTAACCTGAAAATTTCAATATAAACCAATAAAAATAATTTTTTTTTTCAATAAAAATGTCTGTCTCTGTTTATTTGAAACATCCTTTTACAATGCTAATAGCAGGACCAACTGGTTCTGGTAAAACTTATTTCATTAGAGACATGATCAACAAAGCGGCATATATTTGTGATCCACCTCCAAAGTCTATCACTTATCTTTATGGAGAGTATCAAAAAATGTTCAATTCAATGAATGAAGTGAAATTCATTGAAGGACTACAAGAAGAAATAGTTAATGAACTCGGTAATGATGAGCCACAGTGGTTAGTTATAGACGATTTAATGCTAGAGGCAGTTAATCAAACTTTTGTTAGTAACTTGTTTACCAAAGGGTCACATCATAGAAATATTTCTGTAATTTTAATTACTCAAAACTTTTTCATGAAAGGAAAAGAGAGTCGAAATATAAGTCTCAATAGTCAATATGTTGTATGTTTTAAAAACCCGCGTGATAAATCTATGATTACAAACATAGGACGTCAAATGTTTCCGACAAAAATAAAGAAATTTCAGGCCGCCTATGAAGATGCGACTCAGGGGCCATATTCTTATCTTTTTATTGATCTTAAACCTGATACAGCTGAAAAGATAAGGTTATTAACGAATGTTTTCAATGAACATGATAAACCCATGTATACGTATGTGATATAAATTATATAAAGGTTAAATAATTTTTGTATACAACATAAATGTCGATTGAAGGTGTTAAAAAGTGTCTTCCGACATTAAAAAAACTTGCTAAAGCCAAGACAAGGAAGCAAAGAGAAAAACTTTTAGCTAAAGCAAAATCTTGCATATTTTATTCTATCTCTGAAATAAGTAAAAACACACTCAACGGAAATATACCAGTTCAAGACTCATCAAAGGCAAAACTTGCCCCCTACAAGCTTGAACTTAGAAAACTCTCAAGAAAAAGTATTCCCCTGAAAGCTAGAAAAGAAATAATTTTACAAAGCGGTGGTGCTTTCTTACCTGCACTACTTTGGCCAGCAATATCTTATCTAGGTGGAAAGTTGGCAGATAAATTTATACAATGAATGTAATGAATAAAATGGTATTAATTCCAGAAAAAGAATATCATCTTCTCAAAAGTGACCTTAAAAATGATGATAATGTGACCCCTGTTGCTGAACAGGCAAGAGTTGAGAAAATTGAAAAGAATAAAACTGATCCTGAAATTAAATTAAATGAATATAAAGAAAGCTTTAGAAAAGCGGTCCAAAAATATGAAAAGAAATTATCTAAAAGACCTAAAAAGGATAACAAAGTTGTGAAATGTCAGACACTCAATTGGACCAACGTGAAGAACTTTTGAAACGGCTTTATTATGACTTGGATAGTCACGGTAGTTTCGGAGGTGCTAAAAGACTTTATAGAGTTGCGAAGGAGCATGACCCATCGATTGAATACAATGATGTAAAACAATGGTTGATGAAGCAAGAAACGTATACAAACTTTCGGGTACGACGGAAAAACTTTCAAAGGCTAGCTGTATTGGTTGATAGAATCGATGAGCAATGGCAAGCAGATCTTATGGACATGTCCTATTGGTCAGGGCAAAACGATGGAGTCAATCATTTACTTGTTGTGATTGATATACTGAGTAGATTTGCATGGATACAACCGTGTAGAGATAAAGCAGCACCCACAATCATAAATGCTTTTTCTGAAATTTTTTCTTCAGGAAGAAAGCCTGAAAAACTACAAACGGACCAAGGACGAGAATTCAACAATAACAGGTTTAAATTTTTTTGCACATCTCAGGGTGTGCATTATTTCACGACAACTGACGCATCAATAAAATGTGCTTTAGCTGAACGTTTAATACGAACATTACGTTCTCGTATATACCGTTTCATTTACCATAAACATACACATCGATACATTGATGACTTACAAAACATTGTTAATAATTACAACAACTCTTACCACAGAACTATTAAGACAACTCCAAACTCTGTAACACAAGATAATCAACAATATATCGTGCAAATTATTCAGAGATCAATAAAAAATGAAGAGAATAAAAAGAAAACTTTCAATGAAAATGACTTTGTTAAAATTCCATTAAATACTGGCAATTTCGAAAAAGATGCAGTACAGAAATGGACTGATGAAGTGTTCAAAGTTTCAGGGGTTAAAGAAACGCCTCAAAAATTCATCTATAAATTGAAAGATCTACAAGGTGAAAATATATCATCAATTTTTTATCCTGAAGAATTACAAAAGGTTGATTTTGACCCTAATAAATTGCGCAGAGTTGAAAAGATAATCAGGAGAGTTTATGACAGATCACGAAGACAATATAAGTACTTAGTCAAGTGGGAAGGCTGGCCAAGGAAATTCAATAGTTGGATATCCGATATCACTCTTGCAAATGACAGCAATTAACTTTACAATTGACCTAGTGTCAAATGGGTCTACAGACATCTTTCCAGAAAATACATTATCAAAATTTCAAAATCAAATTGATCCTGCATTGGAACTTGATGGTGATTGGGAAGTTGCACTAACAGAAATTTATTTTCCCATCAAATTTGCTATTGATATATCAGAGAAAATGCAAGTTAATTTTAACATTTTGTATACAGCATTCACCTTTTATCCAAATATCGACTTGCGAGTGATATACCCTCCTGAACAAAAGTGGAGGAAATATGACACTTTGGGTGGTGATTATGAGTCATCTGTTGATATTTTTCCAGATGACTCTGTTAATGCGATAATAGATAAACTCAACACTTCAATGATGGCAAATTTGAAAAGTATCGCTCCTACACTTGTTTTCGATTCCTATCCTAAATTTGTTTGCGAAAATGGGAAAACAATCTTCTATCCTGGTCTTCTCACTACAAAAAAAGATAAAGCTACCCCGCTTAATGTTCGTTTAAATGGTCCTGTTGATGAGATAAAAGCAAAATACAAAAAAGATTATAACATTGATTTAGAAGAGATAGGCACGCTGTCAAATGCACCGGTCCCGAAGCCTTTAAGACATTATTACAAAAACATATTTATTGATGGAATGCACACTTATAGTGCTGCAGATGGAGAAGAAACTGAGAAATACAAAGAAATTGCATCTACTGTTTTTGTTCCGCAATTTTCAGACGGGAAATTAATGGAATATTTAGGCTTCTCTCCATCAGCGGATGCTTTAATCGATAATATTGATCATTTCAAACAGGAAGTTGTAGTAACAACACCTCTTTATCATAAAAATAATGTCAATCTGATGTACGTATATACTGATATCATACGAGATCATGCGGTTGGAGGAACTAAAGCGCCTGTATTGAGAGCAGTACCACTGACGACTGGTATTTATCAAGGAATCGGTTATTGTACATTTGAGCATCGAATATATTATCCAGTGCGGAAAAACCATATCGAAAATATTGCGATTTTTTGCTTGGATGATACTGGAGAGCAGATTAAATTTGCAAACATTGGAAGAGTTTTTGTAAGCTTAGATTTTCGTAAAAAGAATTAATATAAAGAAAACAATGTATTTAAATGGTGAATTGAATAAAATGATTCAAAGAAAAACTTACTGTCCTAAAGATAGTGATTTCAATGACTATTTTGCACATCAAGTCGGTTCTGGATTCGGTGACATTAGAATAGTCAGAGGTCCTAGGTATCAAAGAGGGTATGGCTTCGGTAGCTTCTTCTCTCGCTTAGCTATGCCTGTTATAAGGTATTTAGGCAAAGAAGCTCTGAATAAAGGAGTCAGTATCGGTAAGCGTGTAGTTCAAGACCCTCAAATTCAACAAGCTTTCAAAGATAGTGTTAAAGATTTGGCAAATAAAGGACTAGCTAAAATTAAGGAAAAGGTTGTAACACAAGAAGGAAGTGGACGAAAAAGATTATATAAAAGGAGGCAAAAGTCTAAACCTCAAAAATCTTTGCGTAAAGTGAAGAAGCACACTCTGAAAAGAGTGAGCAAAAAGAAAGGAATCAAAAAGAGGAGAGTAATAAGAAAACAACGAGATATTTTCAAATAATGGAGTATATACATGCATCTTCGTCTCCAGCTACTATTGCTGAGCTTGATTTATTTCAATTTCCCCCAACACAGACTGTCATTGAAAGTATCTATGACACAGAATACAGACCGATAGGATCGATTGCGAAAGCTAATGTATTTGAATTCATAGTGCCAGCTTCGGAACACTACACTGACCTCTCTGCAACGTATTTGTATGCAAAAATGAAGATTGACGTACCCACAGGAAAAAGTGTTACACCCACAAACAATTTTGCTGCCTCACTATTTGAGCAACTTGATGTTTATTTTGGGAGTGTAAACGTCACACCTGGAAATAGTTTATACCACTATCAGTCATACATTGATGACATATTTTTCAAGTATAAATCACCCCTTGATGATTGTCAAATGATTAATGATACGGAATCTGCAAGATCTGATAGAATCAAAGATAAAAAAGAGTTTGACATTATAATACCTATTCACGCTCCAATGTTTCAACAAGAAAAATTTTTGATTGATAATGTGCCCATCTCGTTACGATTCAAATGTGCACCGCAGACTTTTGGATTGAACAGCGCAACAGAAGTAACTCCGCTGAGTGTAGAGTTTACACAGCTTTCTCTTTTCATAAGGCGAGTTAAATTGTATGCTCCAGTACAAATGGCAATCACTTCACAATTGGAAAAGAGTCCGGCAAAGTATTACTTTCAAAGGAATGAAGTCAAATCATTTCATCTACCAAAAGACTTTGCTGCAAATAGCATTGACAATGTATACAATGGACAGTTACCACGCAAAATTATTGTTGGTTTTGTTTCTGATGATGCATTTAATGCGAAATTGACAAAAGACTCATTCAATTTTGAACATAAAAATCTGCAAAGCGCTACGATTGTCGTAAATGGAACTAAAATACCGAGTACACCTTATCAGCCTGATTTCAAAAATAAATTATTCATGAGAGAATACTTTAATGTTTTCCGCTCCATGAATCAAGATAATGGAATACCTAAAATCAATCTAAAATATCAAAATTATTCTGATAAATATCCACTTCTTGTTTTTGATTTAACCGATGATGGTACTCTCGCAAGTGATTCAGGTGTATTATCTATGATCAAGAGAGGCAATGTTCGTATGGATATTCAATTTTCTTCTGCTCTTAGTGAAGGGATGCATATGCTGGTGTTTGCTATATATGATAGCGTTCTACAAATTGATGCAGCACGTAATATTGTCACGGACTACTGATGGCTTTAACAACATTAGATATACAAAACCAACTCGTAAAATACAAAAATTTCAAAGGAGTATACGCAATTGATAAACTTCCACTTACTTTGTTTCCAAAACCTTTCGGAATCGTAATCAATCTCGATCCAAGCTGGAAATCTGGCTCACATTGGACAGCAGTATTTATACCAATATACGGCAGTGGAATTTATTTCGATTCTTATGGGCAGCAACCTCCTGAAATGATAAAAACCTATTTGGAAAGAAACTGTAAACGTTATGATTATATCTATAATGTAGATGTATTTCAAGGAGACTTGTCGATCAAATGTGGTTATTTTTGTATCTCTTTCTTGAAAAGTTGCTTTACTGGTTCTTACTTACCTTTTTTGAAATGTGAACAAAAACACAATGAAAATATAATAAACAAAATTTATTAAAATAAGATTTAAAATTAAATGTAATTAAATGAATAAATCAAAGAATGAAATTACAAAACGTTGGAAATAGTATCTGCAATATCATCAATTTCCATTTCATCCCATGCTTTAAAAACATCTTCCCATGAATCCCCCTCTATCACCGGTATAGGTTTATTGCACAGGTCCATTTTTTTCAAAGCAGGATCCTCAAATTTTATTGCCTCGGGTTTTCCCTCATTACACCATTGCTCCAACTCTTCCATATTGATTTCGGTTTCTGGCTGTTCTGATTCTTTTTTTGTTTCACCCCATTTTATGCTTTTAATCCATAATTCGATCAGCATTCTCGTCGTCAATTCGAAAACGAATGGCTTTCTAGTTGCCACCAGAGGGATTCGGCTTCTCTTTGCCTTTTTTTGATTGATTTTCATCATTCGCTGTTTCATGTTATACTTTGCCATCTGTAAAAGAAAGAAAAGAGAAACATTAATAAAATGCAAAAAAGAAAATGATTTAGGGATGTGTGGAAGAGATGGGTATAATGGACATGCAAATTATTGTAAAAGACTTTTAATTAAAATAAAAAGTTAGTAGAGATTACATTAAATAGAAAATACAAATACAGAAAAAATGTATTGGTTTAATCATGAGATAAACTTGTTTCGTGTCAAGAGATACTCCACAACAGTTTCAATCGTCTGCTCAGTAGTTAATTGCATGGGTAGTGTTTCTCCTCTCGCTTCTTTAGATAATCTGGCTTGTTCCAAGAAATAGTGCATAAAGTGCTCGTTTTTTCGTTTCTTTCTACCAAGACCGCTACTACATGGCTGTTCTTCTCTCGTCCTGTTATAAATTTGATTCTTTTTCTCATAATTTTTCCAATTTTCCAACCAAATACACACGTTTGATATTTCTCTTCTCAGCTTTGCGTGCAAGAAAATAACCTCCCTATTACCAATATCAGCAGCTACTCTTTTGAAATAAGCTTTTGTTTTTTCTGACCATCGCTCATCATGATGCAATTCCAGAAATAAACTTTTCATTTGTTTCAATTTTTGTCCTTCAATGAAAGTAAGCTGTATCCATTCCTTTGCCAAAGTCAAGAACAATTTATCAAACTCAATTTTCGTAGCTTGAATTTTGAAGAAAAGTGAAATTTCTTTGCTACTTGGAGCCATGATTTGCTGCAACATGATAAAAAACAAAAGATTTTGATTAAATTACAGAATGAAACAAAAACTGGAAGTTGCGCAGTGATTTAGGAAAGGTGGGTTTGGGTTTGATGTTAAGTTTAATAATTTAATTACCTTTTGTATATTCTTATTTTACAATTCTATAATGCCCGTATGCTAAAGTGCTAACTGCATCGTCCAAAATGTATCTCTTGTCATCAAGTGGAGAAAAAGATAGTTTATTTATCTCTACTGAAGAAATAGCATGATGTTTACTCTGTAACCTAAAGTTTTTATGCTTCAATAACACATTTTCGAAAAGACAAGCCTTATAATCCTCTATTGAAATCCCACTTTTAACAATTGCTTTTTGCACTCCCTTAGCAGTCATTTTTTTATTTGTACCATATTTGATAGCATAAAGTTTAGCTTTTATTGCAACTACTTCATCAATTATTTGCCCATTCATTTCATCTTTCAAATATCCTAGTTTCTTTTTATTTTCAATGCTGTACAAAAAGTGTGCTTGCGGATAATCAGAAAAATCCATAAGGTAATTGAATTCTTGCAAGTCATTGTATAAATCTTTTGTTTGTATTTTATAAATAAAACTGTCGGTGTCAGTGTAGATGAGAGACAATCTAGATCCATATTTAGGTTTGAAATGATCATAATGTAGTCTGTACATGTGTAACTTTGATAGTTCCAAGACTGTAAACCCTAAATAAATCGGTTTGTCGAGAATAACTTCAAACTTTCTCAACTTGATTATTGCAAGATCATTGTCTAGAATGTAAAATTGTTCAAACATTGGCTGCCTGATTTGCTGTAATGCTTGTTTTCCATTCGTAGCAATTATGACTTTACTATGTTTTCTTTTATCTTCTATGCTTTTTCCATACAATGAATTTACCATTAGTTTCCAAAAATCTTTAACGAATGATGATGTAGCTTTTTTTCTATTTTCTGTGCACATTTCAATATATGGTTTGAGCCAAGCTTCTTGCTCAAAACTAATAATGCGATGAATCTTTTTCAAAACTAGACCTTTCTCAATGTAGAAACGAAGATTTTTCTCATGCAGAACATAATTTTCTTTGTTCATCAAATTCGGAACAAGTTTCTTAGTTTTGTAACGCTTAATGCCTGCAGCTTCTAAAAAGCTCACAATTTCTTTTTGATAACCACTCAACTGTTCATATTCAACAGTTATCCTTTCAGGTGCCAAAGGATAATCATTATGAAGATCATGTAAACATGACGGATAGTCAAGATCAACCTCTAGAATGTAACCAGTTTTTCGGTCAGAATCAGAATGCAAAATTTCCTCAATTACACTTTGAAACATGTAAGGAGGAACCCATTCAAATTTTCGACAAGGCAGAACATCACTAAGAGCATATCCGTAGAGATTGTTAACGTCAAGATATGTTAAAAAAGAGCTTGGTTGATTAGGATCAAATTTCTCTGATAGTTCATTATTAGCGCATGCGTAACGGCACATAGAGCAAGATATTCCTCCCCTTATTTCCTCCTCAATCATTAAAACCATGTCAATATCAGTCAATAGATCCAACACAACACCAGTGAACTTCAAGGAGGCATCCCATGTTAGTCCCGGGGTTGAGAAATAGTGACAAGGATCTAATCCAAACTGTTTCAAACTAGTCGCACGAAAGTTTTGAAAAATAGCTGCAAGAAGTAAAACATCAACTTTAAGATAAATATCATGAAAGTCCCCAAGATTTTTACAATTAAAATGCTCCCATATATCGAGCAATCTATCGTGCAATTGTTTATCAATTGTTTTTAGTGACAGATGCGAAAAAAATTTATCAATAGATGGTAAACTTTCTTCTTCAAATCTTTCCCAAGAGTCCATGTATTCATAAGGCAGTGATCCCTTATTCAGAATATATGGTAAATCATCCTCGGAAAAGGTTTGACACAAAAATTTCTTCTTTTCTTCAGTTGATAAATTATTTGCTAATGTGTCCAAACTAGATAGCAAAAAAGCATAACTGTCCAAGAAGATGAAATCATCCATTATTATTGCAATATACTTTTCAGTATTTTGCGGTATTACATTTATTTTATGAATTTTATCTGTTTTTAGACCTCTGATTAGTAAATGAGCATCATAACCTTTCAGATTATGAAATATGATTGGAAGCCTATGAGGTAAACGCATTTTGAGATTGCATCGATTGTGCGCAGCTCCTCGGAATTTCCCAGTCAAGTGACAATGATCGATAACTTTATCATCTTGCAGCTGCTTGTTGCAAACATAACATTGAGTCGATGCTTCAAAAACATGTCTTTCAAAATTACTCAGCTGTGCTGGTTTTTTGTGCTGTTCAAGATGGTTGCGAAGGAAATCTTTCAACGTCAAAAGTGTGTCAATAAATATTTGACTTGCATTCAAGCCGCGATAAAATTTTTGAAATAAGATTTTATCATTCCAGTCAATTGCAACTAATCCAAACGAACATGCTTCATGTTTTTGATATTCAAACGTATTTTTAGTTAAAGCTTTGTTAGTTTTTACCAACAGAGCTTCAAAATCAGCATAGACAATATAAGGATAACTAATCGTTTTTTGTATCTGTCTAAATTTACATTTAGTTGGAATGTTTTCCTGACCAGGGAGAACGACACTTTGTGCAGTTTTATTGTAACAGACAAGTTCATGTTTAGATAGCGCTGTTTGATTTCTAAAACCTGAACAGCAATTATAACAGAAATAACGCTCCCAGGATCGACTGCTTTTGATGAATGCATTGAAATTTGTAATGCAATAATAATGTTCGTTGAATAAGAAAAGATTTGCATGCTTCAACTGACGTTCCTTAGCAACCATTAGCGGAACAACTTTCTTTTTTTCATCAGGTGTTAATGTATAAACATTCACAGAAACATTATTTCGTTTAGTAAAGCGTTTAACCTGTGAAAGCGTTGTCATACCATCTACTTGACTAAAGTCATATTGCTTTTCAAAAACTTTGTAATGCCCTATTCTTTCTTTATTCATTTTTTGAGGGTGTAAAGCCATAAGGATAGACCATTTGAAACAATCTTTTCTACATTTTGGAGATAATAAACTTTTCTTTTTGTTGAAATCAGATGGTAATTTTGTTGAATCACAGCCTCCACTATGTTCTTTCAGTTTTCCAACACGAATCTCAAGAACCTTCACACTCTGAAGCACCCATCCACTTCCACGTTGTGTGAATTGATCGATAGCCAACTCAATCTGTTCGATCCAGTTTTTAACAATAGTTTCAATATGATGCAGGTTTGTTAGGCTTAACATCTCAGCAACTTTATAAATTTCTGTTGTATCCGTTCCTCCTTCAGTTTTCTGTTTGATAAATTTAAGTAGAAGACATGCTTGCACTTTTACAGATCCAATTTTTTCAATGATATATTTAAGCAAAGATTGGATATTTTCCTTTTCAACAGCTAGTAGATGTTCAATTGATTTCCAACCATCAGCTTTTATGTACACAGCTAAAGCATTTCTATAGCTTCTTTTGTGCAATTTGAATGTTGCAAAATCTCCAATATCCTCACTCTGTTTTTGTCTACATTGATTAAGATGATTTAAGAAAGTTAAAGAAGAAAAGCTACTTTTACATTTCTTACAGACAACTTTTTTACACTTTGTTTTATGCAGAAGAAAAGATTTGTATTTCAAGAAACTTTGCTTACATGTTGAGCACGAAAACATTCTGAATAATGAAACTAAAGTCAAATGCTTTTTGCTTTAAATAAGTTTGAAACGGAATTTTTGGGAGAGCTCTCTTTTTATTAAATTTTTACCCGAATAAATGACAACCAAAATAAAAGATAATATAGATTAAGTGGAAATAATTAGAAAGTTTTTTCATAATAATTGGATAATACTTGTTAAGTGTAAAGTAAAATACTGAATGGCTCAATCATAAATAGATTGACACATTGCTGCAGCAATACCATCAACAACAGAATGAGAGTTCAGTTTGATAATTTCCTCGTCTGTTAGAACAAGTTTTGATTCTTTCGATTCGGTTTTCAATTCCAGTGCAAAAGATTTGCCATCAGCAGCTACTTCACCAAGCAGAGTGCGTCCAGGAAAAATGGAAAACTGGAAACCATTATCAGTCTGCTTCAAATAATGATGAAATCTCTCCTTAAGCTTCTCATACTCCTTATACTTGAGAAACAAACCGTATCGTGTTGGAATGTAGATTTTTTTACCTTGCCACTGTCCTTCCTTCTTACGACGAATGTCAACAAACGTTGTTCCTTGTGCAGACCGTGATTTGTGAACAGTAACCCACAAGGTTTGACTGATCTCAACATTGAGTAGTTGCTCAAATTCTTCGGTGAATTTTTTACGGTGTCCAGGTTTTTTAAGACTGTTTGAAACTTGTTGAGAGGCATTGGAACTTTCGTCGTTGGAACTCATGATAAAACCTTAACTGTTGAATGAGAAGAAACTGAATGAAGAAAAAATGAAGTGCTGCTGAACTTTTATACTTAAATCCCAGTCGATCCGAAGCCACTCCTACCACGCTCACCAACATTGATTAACTGCTCCACTTCAACCAAATCAGGAACTTCTGCTCTCTCGACAATCATTTGCGCTATACGCATCCCTTTTGTGATTGTGAAATCCTCATCAGACCAATTATGAAGTATTACCCTTATTTCCCCTGTATAATCAGGGTCAATAACACCACCGTGAACAACAATTCCTTTCGAAGCGAGACCTGAACGTGAGGCTAGTCTAACATAACAACCAGCAGGAGGTTGAACCTTGATTCCTGTTTTCACAATAGTTATTTTTCTTGATGGTAGAACCAAATTTTCATAGGACTGTAAATCATATCCAACTGAGTCGATTGTGCCTCTAGATGGAGTAGAGACATCTGGGTAACACTTACTGTAGAACATACTCATTTTGAATGATAACTTGCGTGAAAATCTCGTCTTTTTATGCTAAAATTCTGCAATTAGTCAGCAAAATTTTCTAAAATCGGAAGGTATGTCCACGTGAATACCTCCGCCCTACAAAGAGTTATTAGAGCGAGTTCATCATAAGCATTTATCGCAACAACACTATTACCAAAGTTGTGTAATATGATGATGAATTCATCATCGAAGGTATTTTTAATCACTGGAGCGATAACAAAAACACTACGGTTCAACAAATTGGGACTTGCAGAGCACTGTACGAATGTACTTTGAGGAGGTTTCAATCTGATTCCTGTTTTAATTATAGCTGATTCGTTTGGAGATAATTTAACGTCAGCGGTGGAATAAATAATATATCCTAATTTATCTTTTGCTTGTGCAATTATTGAAGGAGTTGAAGAACACTTACAGTATATAAACGACATTAGTTGCAAGTGTTTTTTTGCAAGTGTTCACTTAAAAACTTATGCTCACCATTAAATACTCAGCCCGACCAATTCAGGGCGTAAGTCACGGATCAAGTAATTCACTAAGTCAATGATCACGTGATCATCTGAAAGGTGGGCATATGTGATAAGGTGACACTTTAATTCATTTAAACTTTCATACTCGAGTGAGTTTTGGTCTAAATGCATCACGAAATAATCTGAAACGTAACCTGACCTTTGTGACTCAGTTTGAAGCAAGTAACCAGATTGACAACTTCAATGTTCTCTTGCAAGAATCTCATTATAAATAAAATTTTTAATCAATAAGTCTAAATACCGCTGCTACGAAAGAACGGCACATAGGACAAGTAGCGACACCTGGCTTCATTTTTAGCATGAAAAGGAACAGTTCGTTATATACTCATAAGCAAGGGGAAAGAATGAAAATGACAATGACCTTTTTGACCTTGAAAAATGAAAAGATAATTTAAAGTTGATAATTTATTATCAAAGAAGTATACCTCTATCTATTACTGTTTTCAAGTTATAAACCTAAAAAAATCAAGTTTAGCATAGTAAAATTTGTCGCAAAGGTATAATTTTTGAACGATAAGTGATATAAAAAATA